AAACTAGATTCATACCCGTGCGTTGCACGCCAAGAAAATTATTGCAGTATAAAAATTACAAATTATTTGAGGTTCATCGTGAATCTATAATTTTATTTCACTACAATCCGCAATTCTTAGAATGGAACATACTATTTATTTAATTATTTATATAAAATATATATTTTATTTAACTATAGGTCAAAGATTGAAACAGTTGTCTGAAAAAAGACAAAACTGAATAAATACTCCGGAACGGATGTAGTACTAGATAAATAGTTTTTCAATTTTTGAAAACTATTTATAAGTAGTCTTTTAGGTCGAATTTGACTAACTATGAAAAAAAATTTCCAAAATTGAGAATTATTTACTTAATGTATTAGAAATATAGACTAAATACGCCTATAATTATGAACAATTTATGAAATTTACTCTTTTGAATATAATATTTGTTGTGACCCCATAATATGCACTCTTTTTGGAGAGAAAACATTTAGGAATTGATTCTTTTAATATTCCGTGAAAAAATTGCAAATACTAATCTAAAGAGACTATATTAAAGGATTATATTTTTTTTCCCTAGTTTGGTCTTTCTCCCATTATATTAAAGGATTATATTTTTTATAACTAAAAAGAAATTTTTATACAATCCTAATTTAATTATGAAATATTATAGGTTAAGTGAAAATGTAACAAAAAGCACTCTAGATTGGATGATAAGGAACTCATCTAATTGACTAAGAGATCTTGGGTTCAAACTCCCATGGTGGTATGCTTTAGGAAAAAAATTGTAAAAAAAAAACTGGTCCAACCGGTTTGACCGGCCGGTGTGTCTAAAAGAGTGACACATCAGCTCTGCCACATGTCGTGCTATAGCTTTGCCAAACTTATAGCACTTTAATTTGGATGGTAAACTAAGGTGCTGTTTCTTTCAGCCTCTTAATGGTTCAGATGTCTGAATGGTTCAGCACTTAATGGTTCAGACTGTTTGTTTCAGCCTCTTAATGGTTCAGATGTCTGAATGGTTCAGACATTTGCCTCTAAATGGTTATGTATTATACAGAGTCTGAATGGTTAAGAACTCTTATCTGAATTGATCAGACATTTGCCTCTGAATAGTTAAGCAATATACTAGCTCTTAATGGTTCAGACCTTTTACTGGTTCAGTACTTACCTCTACAGAAGTTGCCAAACAGCCTCTAAGAGATCTTAGGTTCAAACCCCCATGGTGGTATGCCTTAGGAAAAAAATTGAAAAAAAAAAAAAAACTGGTCTGACTGGCTTGAGCAGCCAGTTTGTCTAAAAGAATGGCACATCAGCTCTGCCATATGTCGTGCTTTAGCTTTATCAAATGTCATATTTTTATAGCTCGGAGTCTAAGGATATGATAAAATCGAAGATAATATGAAACAACAAACATTAAAAGAGAAGTAAAAAATTTGACAAAAAAGGGGGCTAGAGAAGAAATCTGTCGTGCTGAAAACTAGTGGAAGAGGAAGGGGGTGCGGTCGAGTCTCGCGAGGATGGATGTGGTGGTGGGGGTGATGGGAGTTTTCATAAGTTTTTTCCACGTACATTTCTTCATTTGGTACAAAAGTAACTTTTAAAAAAAATCAATAGCAATTGACTAATCGCATATTTTCTCTCACTAGAGGAATATTCGAATACTCCCTACGTCCCACTGTCTTTGTCCACTTGCCTTTTGGCACATCATCCAATGCACTTCTTTAATCTATTTTATCTTGTAATTTGTATATTAAAAAATTATAAAAATTATATATTAATAATCTATATGTTAAGACGAATCAAACAAGATCACACATGACTATTTTTAGGCTTACACATTGAGAGAATTTGATGAATCAAAGTGCTTAGATGAACAATTCTTAAAGTCAAAACTGGACAAAGACAATGAGACGGAGGTAGTATAATTCATTCCTCTCTTCTATAAGTTTCTTCTCTCTTTGATGAATGTTTTCATGTTTCCTCTAGAGTCGATAACATTTTGGACCCGCAAAAGATTAAGAAATACTCCGTAACTAAAATGCACCTCCCGTTATTAAAAATGTCAAATTGCGCATTTAAAAGTTCAATACGGAGTATTAAATTCTTTCATTTTAGCAAGGAAAATATGAGGAAATCATTTCCTTTTCTTTTCCCTTCTAAAATCCTTAACCAAACAAAATTTTGGTTAAGAATTTTGAGGATCTCTTTAACAATTAGGGATTTGTGTCCTAAAATAAGTACCCCGAGCATATTCAAATTTCAAAGTGTTAACCAATTCGACCAATTTGCGGTAAATCCTAAAAACACCTTTTCGTACGGGATGAGCTCCATCTCCGAACGCCCCCAAAGATTTGATTGCAAATTGGTGACAGGAAGTAGTGTACCTGAGCATATTCAAATTTCTGCACATCATACTTGTAGAGATTCTATATTTAGCATAGTTATCTTTTAACGTAGTTGTCCGGAATGGTGTCAACTAGCAACGCCACCGACTAAAAAACATCTTTTTCTGTTCTAAGAAAGCTCCAGATGGGATCCTTGTCTCATTGTTAGACACGGAATTCAACCCCACAATAGTTAGAAGTGAAACTTTCTTAAGTTTTACCCAAAATTTCCAATTTTATTTTTTTCATAATTATTGCAAGATATTTTAAATTTAATAGTCCTTTTGTCTCAATTTAAATTGCATTTTTTAATGTATTTGGAGGATTTTGTAATTTTTTATGACCTACTGTATTACACTCCCATGAGAATTCATTGTTTTAATTTTTAAACCATGACGTGGAGAGTATTTACTTTTAACAACTCTCGATTTTGAATGTGGAGAGTATTTAGTTATAATTGCTTATAAATTAAATATTCTTTCATTGAAGTAAAATGACATAAATGATGTGTAAGTCATTTAGAATATTCATAAATGGTAATGGCAGTTTTGTAAATAATCTCATCAAAACAAAAAAAACACAAAGCTGAGTGCTGACTTAAAAATAAATAACTAAAATTTAATTATTTTTTGTCTTATAAGGAACTTATACATTAAGCGCATAAGAACATGACATCAACTTACTTATAAAAAAATTAAAATTATAAACAATTTTGATCAGTTTATACATCCAGAAAATTAAACATCCACAATGTACCCAAACCTACCTAATCTCCAACTTTTCTCTTCTTGAACCTCCTCCTCCATAGTGTTTTTAGTCTTGGGGTCCCAATACGCAGAAATACTCTGATAGGGATTAGGATTAAAATGAAATCTTACACTCTTATCTTACTCCTGGTCTTTTTACTTTTTAGTGTATAGTTTTAAGTTTGAACTATGAACCCTTGGTTAATTGTAATATAGAATTAATGGAAAATGGAAATTATTAATAATGCTTTAAATAATTATACGGAGTATTTATGCATTGATTTGAGTTTTAATTTTGTGTATATGAATTACAAATTAAACATTTGAAATACACTTTAAAAAACATTTGAAATACTATAATACTCCGTATAAAATAAGTTTAGTAAACATTTCATGCATTTAATCATTCTTTTTTATTTTTTATCTTTCTTAATTCAAACGTCGTTTGATTTTTGAAAAAGTAAGGATTTTGTTATATTTTAAAGTGTAAATTGGGTATCTAAATATTTATTACATTCTAATCTTTACTAAAACTGATACTAAATCACACTGAATCAATAGTTCGAGATAGGGATCACTATGACATAAAATCTCATACCAAACACAAATATTTGATACAATATCGGTACGAGGTAAATACCTTATCATACTGTATCATGTTCACCCCTACTACTTCTCACCCCTTTCAATTGCACAAATTAGTATTGGGGGGTGAGTTCGAGTCAGGACTGGGGTGGGCCAATGTCATCCCATTACATGTTTCAATGTCAAGGGAACCACGGTATTCTTGTTCTTTGATAATGAAATGAACGATGATGGCTTCTTTTGAATACATAGGAAACCGCAAAATCAGATTCCTTAACGGAGCCAAAGGATATTTCATCGAGCAGGAAAACACAAAAAATCCTTTACAATTTGATTTCTTTGGTCATATTGCAACACACTTGTTTATTTGTATTGCAACACCCTTTGATTATTAGTAAAAACAGTATATAAATAAAAACATGTTCATTCGCAATAGACATTCTTGTGAACAATCAGGGATATAGGCGTCAAAGCAAACTTGGCCATAATCAATAGGGATACCATATTATGGAGCTTAAAATACCTTAACATTATAGCTAAATTGACAAATTTCAGTTTTACTTTCTCAATAAGCAAAAAAGAAAGAAAGTAAAAAAAAAAAACCTCCACCTCCACCAATAACCAATTATGCCAGATTCTATTGTGCTCTTCTTTCTCTTCCCATGTGCTAAACCACCATCTCTAGTCTGTGATGGTGCAGATACACAAACAAAAGTATTGCAGGTTTCAATTCTTAACAGAGAGCTGTATCAACCACTGCAAATTTATTGCACCTTTTAAGTATGCGGATTGTGGTTGATAACTATTTTTGCAGGTTTGGTGCATCTGATGGATGCAAGATGTACCCACTGCCACTAACGTAGTCATGTTTCCCACGTACTGCATGCACGTCTTGGTTATAACACACACGCTAAGTACACCAGCTTCGAATATGAATTGACAATGTAATCCTCTAAATTTTTCCCATATGAGCATATGACTGCATGGGTATATGCTTGTAGCTGGAACATGGAACACGTGCACTCTTTCTTGTCAAGATCCACCAAACCCGTGACATAGGGCCATCAACCTCGTACTCTGGGCAACAGCTCCACCTGGCTATCCATCCATTCACAGCTTGAGTAGCATCAGCAGCAGTTCTTTGCAAGATAGCAGAACAGAATCTTCCTTCGTATATACTTCCATACCCATCCTCTTGATTTGAAATCTGTTTGCACATCTTTGTCATAAACTCTTCGAGACACGTAATAATATACTTCCATACCCCTCTTTGTCATACTACCTGGATTAGTAGCATAATTGTAGCAGCATAATCTCTTAGGAGTGCATATTTTTCCTCATCAAGTACTTCACATGCCAATGGTCTTGCCTTGCAGGCCTTCCATTTACTGCAATTCACACCCACTTCCTTCAAATTTTCATAACCAACTAAGCTAATTTTTCACTTCTGTCTTTCTGCACATTGCTTAACAATCCTCTTCCCAATGTACTTCAACCTGCATGTTCATTGTCAATTTCCTTCTCAAATTCAACTTTTTTCTCCATTTTTGTTTCATCTTTTTGTATATATCCTTGTTGGTGCTCTCATCATTTGACCGTTTTGTAACACAATCTTCATCACTAGAACCCTCTATCCCTTCATATGCCTCATCAAGAACCTCATTATCATCAGCTTCAGATTCGGAACTATCCTCACCTGATTGTACATAGGTCTCATCCTCAGAATCACCTACCTCTTTAGGGTTATCGATTTAAATGTTTCCAGTCAATATTGAGGTAAATGTTTCCTCTCTTGCTGAACCAGAATCATCAAAGTTACAGAATTTATCAGTGGTGATTACAATTGGTCCCAATAAATCTCCTCCTTAACAATAAATTGAAAGCCCCCACTAACATTTTAAATGTTCACTGCCTCTTCAGAGTTCACACCCTGTTCAACAAAAAAACTAGTTCTCTTGATGCCTTGCTTGAATCATCCCCAACCGTCCGCAAAGTTCTATCTGCTAGTGATTTTTCAGTTGGTCACTCTCAGCATAGACAGTAGCAAAGCCCAACCCTTCACGAGCTTTTAGAAATGTCAACATATCTGAGTCACATTTAATCTCCATTAACCCATCTGATGGCTTATTCCCAGGAGTATTGAAACAAAACTTACTTGCCCTCAATCCCCTCATACAAGTATTTCAGCTCAAATGGACTCAGTAGGACTAGATCAATCTCTATAAATCTGTTCTTTTACCACCAACATAACATAACTTGGGTCTATCCCCAACTACATTGCTCATCAGAGTTTACAATGTATGGCATTTGGCTAAAAGATTGGACTCTTATATCATTAATGACGAGTTAAATCATTGTCTGATAACCATCACGTTACCATACACTTTGGTGTTCAAAAGCGTAGACCAAGACAACTCATCCAAAACCCAAGCTCTTGTTTGAGGCACGTGTGTGCGTGACATGGCAAGCCAAGCCCTGCCACACAACTATTCAATACGAAGTACAATATTTAGACAATTAATTTCTATATTTCAATACAGTTATATATCCCTCCCTTTAACCCCAATTTAGTAGAACGTAGAAGAAACAAGGGCCTCATCGTCGAGTGGTGGGGGTTAAGAAAGAAGGATTCATCGTAAAAGCAAATAATGGGATGGTGAAGAAGCGGAGAGGATGTAGTATTAGACGGACCGAAAAAAGAGCACAGTTAGCCAAGGTTAACTTAATCCGCCCGTATATTTGTACTAGCCAAGTACACACGTTGTTCAAGTGGTGCCCAACATTATAGGCCCTTATGTATTTAAAATAAAACTGAATAAACTAAAGGAATATCAAAGGGCTTTGCATGTACCAGTTCTATTTATCAAATGAAACCATTGACTATTTTTCTGTTTGCAAATCTGAAATTAAAAAAAAAGGTCACAGCCAATTAAGTCTCAAGTAATCACCTCAACTTGGAAAGTTCTCTAGTAAGATTTATTTAGATTTTAAAAGCTATGAATTTGGGAATTCTTGCATGCATTTGGGAACCTAATCCTTCAAGAAGAGACGTCTAAATTCATAGTTGAAAATCAAACAAATGGTGAAACAAAAACTAATTCAGGTATAATGCAAAACAGAAGCATCCGGAGTATCAAGGAAGAGAGAAAACTATTTAAGTGCAAAGTGATGAAATCCCTTTAGACCCATAGAAAAACTAAAACACCTAACACATAGAAGGAATCTAGAAAAACAGATAATTGCTTAATCAATGTTGGTTTTCATTTTTTATACTGGTGATTTTCAGCTGAAACAGAAACATCCGGAGTATCAAAGAAAAGAGGAAACTATTAAAGTGCAAAGTGATGAAATTTCTTTAAACCCATAGATAAACTAAAACACCCTACACATAGAAGGAACCTAGAAAAACAGAAAATTGTTTAATCAATGGTGTTTCTCTGCTGCGTTAAAGTCAAACATCAATTTTTATTGAAATGTTGGTTTGAGAATTTAAATAAGAAATGATAAAAAACAATACAATAATCCACTTGTTTGCTCTTACTCAAACAACAATTGCTGAATAAATGTAATCCCTATCTTTTATACATCTGACAGATGCTGCAAATTTCTTTTCTCAAATCAGGCTAAGCAACATGTAGAACATCTAAAAAACAGTATTATTCTAATGTGAAGTGCCGAAGTCCAATTAATGAGGTAAGGAGAAGATTATACTGTCTTATCATGTGATAGAGAGAAACAAATGTAAAAGTAATCAAACACATTTAGTTGGCATAAAATAACAATTATGGACTTAAAAAGTAAAAATTTATTGGGTTTAAATCGTTAATGAATCAACTCGACAAAAAATTCAGCCTTTGAGATGTATAATGCATTGTTGAAAAACATTAGTCTCTATCTGAATGACTAAACAAAAACTAACCAACAAACAGAACTCCCACCAATAACTAAGATTGCTCGAGGACCGCTCTGGTCAGTGGACAAAGTCTTTACTTGTTGAATTATAAATTCTTGGTGTTAATTCTAGTTGTGTACCATAGATACAAATTAAAATGCACTCTTTCTAAGTAAGAGAAATAACCAGCATGTTTACGGGAAAATAATGATAAGGAATAAAGTTAGAATACATTACATGGTCAATTGATGTAGTTGCAACAGTGGTACTTGACAGTGATCAGTAATCCCTAAGGAGATTAATGAACCATTTTTGTGGTGGAATGACAGTGATCAGTAATCCCTAAGGAGTTAGTTATGCAGCGAATAATATAAAAATATGATTAGTAACCTTCAAGAACAACGTCCAAAGCTTTTCAGTCCATCAAGAAAAAAATAACCAGAAAAACTCTTTAAAATGGTGGTAAGAGCTTTATGCAAAAGAAGAGAAGTTTTCATGTACAATGAGCCTGTTTTTCTCCAAACTGATGATTTTTATAAATGTAATTAAACATTGGATGTAAGGAATAGTGTCCTTCAATGGCTTGCCTGCAAACACAAAATGGGGAAGATGATTCAATGACATTCCACTTTCCAGAAAGTTACACATAAAGTAAAGAGATAATGACCAGCATCTCCAGTACCTATTCATTGGTTCCTATTCTAAAAAAGTACTAGACTTTGAAACATATAAATAGAAATGACAGATACCGTAAAAATGTAAATGGAAGAAAAAGGTACGGATACCGTACTTCTTTCTTTTGTAGTTTCTTGCTTTCTTTTTATCATTCTAAACAACCAAAGTATGACCCTATTCAAATGTGGTTCAGGAATTTGGTGCACTGCTTTATGCTCATCGACCTCTCTGCCAGTGTGCTTCTCAAATTAGATCTGGCTCAAAGCAGCACTCCCCAATGGCATTATTCACTTACACTGTAACATGCTTCCTTTCACATTACTTCCTGATTCAATGGTCATTTTGCATTTTAGATCTTTATTTGTACATATTAAGGCTGTTTTTAATTGACATCTTCGTTATTATTGGTATGTTCTTCACCGTATAGTTAGAAGGGAAATAAAAAATATAAGGTTGTTTATTTGTGCATCCTCACATCATACGGTTTTATGAGGTAAAAGAGCCAATATCGGACATCTATGGAATATGGTGGTTCATAGAGAAACTTAAGTACTGTTTCCAAGAGTACTCCAAGACAGAGAAGTGTGTATGCAGACCTCACCCTACTTGAAAATAGAGATGATGTTCCCAAGATATAGAAACTTAAGTAAATAACTAAACGGTGGGGTTTCGTTGACACTGGAATCCAGTGTCAACGGATGACACTCCGTTTAGCATTGAGGTTCTAGTGACACTCCGGTGCCACTGTCGTTTAGAAGGGGGCTTAGGGGGGACAGGATTGGGGCTGGGGTAGGGGGTTTAGGGGGGTGATTAGGGGGTAGGAACCATCAATTTTGCAAACGGAGCACCGAAAGTGCCCTAAAATGACAGTGGCACTAGAGTGTCACCGTACTCCCGTGTCATTAAAACCTCACCGATAACTAAATAACATAACTCTCCAAAACAAAACTAAAATTACATTGGGTGGCTCTATTGATGGAGAAGAGGCCATTAGTGTCAAGATGTGACTGTGACTTAGAAAGTTAGAAGTCTCTCTGCAGACATCAAATTAAATCGACTTTAAAAATGAACATACTTTATATATAAAAGACAAACTAAGAGAAAATTAGAGAGAGACAGAGGAATTAATGTGACCTTACAAAGCTTGAAAGTTGGGAATCATTGTGCTTGAGTTTGTCATTATTGTTGTTAGCTACAACAAAAACAACATTGCCCCAGTGCTTCCAAGGCTCGACACTTGTTTCAGTTTTTCTTACACGGTTAGTATATGAACTAGGAACCTGTCTTAACTATTAAAAAAAATCAAAGCAAGCAGAATATAATATCCTTAATACCAAAAAGGGCTTAAATTTAAATGCATGTTGCACTGGTTGGTTGCATAGCCTGCCGCTCATTAAGGCAATAGTGTGCACTTTCCCAATCCTCCCTGCTGGAGAATGTTGTTGGTTGCCTTCCATACCTGGTTTTCGATCTAGCGAACAATATGGACCTTCCCAAAATTTTTTTCCTAAGTGAATCATAGGTTGGAATCACTCTTCCATGGATGCTGGCTGGCTGCTACCTGCTCCCCTCAGGAATTATGAGTAAAGTAAATGCCTTTTGGATGACCACTTCCCTCGTTGGTTTTATTGATTCTATTTACCTGGTCTAATATTCAATGCCCTTCTCTGTCTCGCTGCATCTCTCCCCAAGGTTCTCAGTTATGTTTGTGTGCACTTCGTATTAGTTGTTTATACTTTGATGATTTGTTTCACAATAACATAGAATAGATTGATTTTTTTCAAGAAATGTATTAAATGATGCATTGAATTAGATTTTGTTGAAGAAATGGAAGAAATAGTATTCCGCTTTTCCCAATTTCTTGTTTTTAGAGCTTCATTCATCACAAATGCTCATGCTCAGTACATTAGGTCACCAATTTATCAAGGAAGTTATTGGTACAGTATGTGTTCTATCATGCATCAATATTTTGGTGTGTATTGTTTTTGCTATTACTCCCTTTCCCCCAAACCTTGTCTGTTCACATTTAGGTTGGATGGGGAGAGTAGTCTGAAAAGGAACTATTTCCCCAAAGAAAAATGACATATATTATAAATCATAGATATGCAGGATAATTTTTAAAACTTCTTAAAAATGATTAAACATCTTTCTCAACTCTTAATGTGATTTGGATTTTGTGGGGTTTTTTCAATGTGGTTGTGCAGTATCTATATTTTTTCAAGTTTCCCTATTTTGATTCTCTTATGAATTTATTCTGTACATTGCAATACTAGTTTGTCATTCCTTTTCGTTGACATTTTGAGTCTTTGGTCTTCATGGACCACTGCCATGCGTGCACAAACTATTCTCCATCAATGAGACCTGATGGGTGTTTGTCTCCTCTGCATTTGGCTCTGTGTTTTATAATCTGTTTCTTTTTCAATGATTTGTCTATTGTCAGCCTCTCTGGCTGATTTCCGTGCCAAGCAGCTGCCTTTTGAGGTCAAATCTGAATCAAAAGCTGTAATCTCTAGCACACCACACTCTCCTCAAAGCTCGGGGCCTAAGAACCGGGCTGAGAAAAATTCCAAGCTCTCCACTGGCAAGGAGAAAACCACAATCTCAGCCCTCCGCAAATTATTCTTACAGAAGGTATGGGATTTTCTTAGAGCAGTGCAATCTCTGATTTTCTTAGCCTTCCACAATCTCTGATTTTTTTTGCAGCAAGGTGTCATTCTTGATGTTGGGGAAAAAGGTCCTGATCCTTAATGAGTTCCTGTTAAATCCATATATGAAAATTCCAGTTTTATAATGTGAAAATTGGTCTTTTCCTTTGCGAATTGTTGTTATCTTCCTAGTTGACTGTATTACTTGTTCATTCACCATGTTTTCATCGATGGATAGTTATGTTACTTCCTCGCGCTTAAGGCCGAACATCTAGTTTGTCAAGTCCAATACATTATTAATAGGAGCATGGTGAATGAACAAGTAATACATCGATGAATAACTATCCGTCGATGAAAACATGGTGAATGAACAAGTAATACAGTCAACTAAGAAGATAAGAACAATTTCAAAGGAAAAGACCAATTTTCACATTATAAAACTGGAATTTTCCGATTTGGATTTAACAGGAACTCATTAAGGATAAGGACCTTTTCCCCCAACATCAAGAATGGCACCTTGCTGCAAAAAAAAAACAGAGATTGTGGAGGGCTAAGAAAATCAGAGATTGCACTGCTCTAAGAAAATCTCATACCTTCTGTAAGAATAATTTGCGGAGGGCTGAGATTGTGGTTTTCCCCTTGCCAGTGGAGAGCTTGGAATTTTTCTCAGCCCGGTTCTTAGGCCTCGAGCTTTGAGGAGAGTGTGGTGTGCTAGAGATTACAGCTTTTGATTCAAATTTGACCCCAAAAGGCAGCTGCTTGGCACGGAAATCAGAGAGAGAGGCTGACAATAGACAAATCATTGAAAAAGAAACAGATTATAAAACACAGAGCCAAACGCAGAGGAGACAAACACCCATCAGTTGGTCTCATTGATGGAGAATAGTTTGTGCACGCATGGCAGTGGTCCATGAAGACCAAAGACTCAAAATGTCAACGAAAAGGAATGACAAACTAGTATTGCAATGTACAGAATAAATTCATAAGAGAATCGAAATAGGGAAGCTTAAAAAAATATAGATACTGCACAACCACATTGAAAAAACCCCACATAATCCAAATCACATTAAGAGTTGAGAAAGATGTTTAATCATTTTTAAGAAGTTTTTAAAATTATCCTGCATATCTATGATTTATAATATATGTCATTTTTCTTTGGGGAAATAGTTCCTTTTCAGACTACTCTCCCCATCCAACCTAAATGTGAACAGACAAGGTTTGGGGAAAAGGGAGTAATAGCAAAAACAATACACACCAAAATATTGATGCAGGATAGAACACTATACCAGTCACATCTATCTGAATGACTAAACAAATACCAACCAACAAACAGAACCCCCACCAATAACTAAGATTGCTCCAGGACTGCTCCGGTCAGTGGACAAAGTCTTTACTTGTTGAATTATGAATTCTTGCTGTTAATTCTAGTTATGTACCATAGATACAAATTAAAAATGCACTCATTCTAAGTAAGAAATAACCAGCATGTTTACGGGAAAATAATAATAAGGAATAAAGTTAGAATACATTACTTGGTCAATTGATGTAGTTGCAAGACTTGCAACAGTGGTACTTGACTTTATGAAGCCTTTAGGAGGTACAAATTGGGCGAGTGAGTAGCAATGTTGCTCTTATTGGAGAAGGTTTTCAATTACTGCTATGTTGGATGAGCTCCTGGAATGTAATCGTTAATGGTGATTGGTGAGTATTTGTGAAGTATGATTAAAAAGCGGAAGAAAAAGCGATGATAATTGAGACCATTCTCTTAGGGAACATCCTTGAGAGGTAGTCGGATTCAACTCTATAGATGTGTTGTATCTTGTATTCTTGCTTTCAAGGATACTCCTATGCATATTAACACTATGTTTGGTTCAAGGAATTTGGTTTTTCCTCCACTTATACAGTTTGCCTTCTCATTTTCCTTTCCTTCTACTTTTCCTTTCTTTTCCTCTCTAACAGAACAAGAAAAATTATTTTCCACCTCATTTTATTTTCTTTTCCATTTCAAATTCCTTGAACTAAACATAGTGTAAAAGAAATTGTATCATATCAAAAGTACCTAGAATCTATCAAATGAGAAACAATTTAAGAGCATTGCTTGATTACATTTATAAAATATAAAACCATTAATTTGTAGATTATCTAGGATCTACAAATGAGTTTCAATTCACGATCTAAACATGTAAAATTTGGGAAACAATGGTGTCATTTATTGAATTTGAGAATAATTGAGTAGAATCGCACAATTCTATGAGTAATAATGTGATTTTTTTCTTTTCAGTTCTAGATGTGCATTCATCAAACTTAATTACACCGCATAATCTTTAGACCATATAGAGTTTTAAGGGCTAATAAGCAATATACCTGCATTTGCCACCCAAGACTTGGAATTCAGATGCCGCAACTTCCAAGTGGGGGAAAATTTACTGAGATAAGAGGACATAACAGTCACTGGTGGTTATAGCATTCTTTCAATAAGTTATTTCCTACATGCTGGTTTGAGGCCTTTTCCATGATTTCTGTCATTTGTATGTGTTTGTTTTAAACTACAGTATTTTTATAGAACTGGAACCAAGCAATAGGTGCTTACGTCAGATTAAAGAACCTCTTTTTATATGACTATCCAAAAATTTTGGAGGAACGAAATGTGGAAAGAGCATTCTAACAGGTGTTAAAGATGAACTTGACAGAGGGAATCCTACACACGATATGATGATTCATTTTTGTGGTGGAATGACAATGATCAGTAATCCGTAAGGAGATTAATTATGCTGCGAATAATATAAAAATATGATTAGTAACCTTCAAGAACAACGTCCAAAGCTTTTCAGTCCATCAAGAAAAAAATAACCAGAAAAACTCTTTAAAATGGTGGTTAGAGCTTTACGCAAAAGAAGAGAAGTTTTCATGTACAATGAACCTGATTTCTCCAAACTGATGATTTTTATAAGTGTAATTAAACATTGGATGTAAGGAATCGTGTCCTTCAATGGCTTGCCTGCAAACACAAAATGGGGAAGATGATTCAATGACATTCCACTTTCCAGAAAGTTACACATAAAGTAAAGAGATAATGACCAGCATCTCCAGTACCTATTCATTGGTTCCTATTCTAAAAAAGTACTAGACTTTGAAACATATAAATAAAAACGACAGAAATCCTAGAAAAAGAAATGGAAAAGTCATCATAGCAGCGTGTAGAAAATATGTGAGAGAAAGTATGCTTCTTTTGGGATAGTTATGGTTACAAAAGGATCTTATAAAAAACAGAAAGCAGTGTTGCAGCCATGCATTCTAAGAATGCTATTTGAACTCCTTTCTATTTGGAGGCATTTTTAATGTTAATTACAGTTCCACCTATTCGAAGTTAGATCGTACATTACATTTGCTTATAGGAGAATGGATGAATCATACGCCCCAGCGTATGCTAATGTGGACTCAGGCTCTTTTTGAAGAACTATAACTTGGCAAAACTCTTGGCATCGAATCCTTTAGTAAATTGAAAGTAGTTGAACATGCATTGACCAGGCATAAAGTTCCTTACAAGATTCCTAATCGCAAGAGATACCGTAAAAAATGTGAATGGAAGAAAAAGGTACTGATACACGGAGTACTTCTTTCTTTTGTAGTTTCTCGCTTTCTTTTTATCATTCTAAACAACCAAAGTATGACCCTATTCAAATGTGGTTCAGGAATTTGGTGCACTGCTTTATGCTCATCGACCTCTCTGCCAGAGTGCTTCTCAAATTAGATCTGGCTCAAAGCAGCACTCCCCAATGGCATTATTCACTTGCACTGAAACATGCTTCCTTTCACATTGCTTCCTGATTCAATGGTCATTTTGCATTTTAGATCTTTATTTGTAGACATTAAGGCGGTTTTTAATTGACATCTTCCTTAATAATGGTATGTTCTTCACCGTATAGTTAGAAGGGAAATAAAAAATCTAAGGTTGTTTATTTGTGCATCCTCACATCATACAGTTTTATGAGGTAAAAGAGCCAATATCGGACATCTATGGAATATGGTGGTACATAGAGAAACTTAAGTACTGTTTCCAAGAGTACTCCAAGACAGAGAAGTGAGTATGCAGACCTCACCCTACTTGAAAACAGAGATGATGTTCCCAAGATATAGAAACTTAAGTAAATAACTAAACAGTGGGGTTCCGTTGACGCTGGAATCCAGTGTCAACGGATGACACTCTGTTTAGCGGTGAGTTTCTAGTGATAGTGGAGTACAGTGACACTCCGGTGTCACTGTCATTTGGAGGGGTGCATAGGGGGGCAGGGGTAGGGGGTTTAGGGGGGTGATTAGGGGGTAGGAACCATCAATTTTGCAAACGGAGTACCGAAAGTGCCCCAAAATGACAGTGGAACCGGAGCATCACCGTACTCCGGTGTCATTAGAACCTCACCGATAACTAAATAACATAATTCTCTTATCTCTATTGGCTTCTCAATTAGGTAGTCCATCCTTATATTCTCTACTACCATCCATCCATCCATCCTTATATTCTCTTATCTCCATTGGCTTCTCAATTAGGTAGTCCGTCGATCCAAATTCCCACTCGCTTCAGCGCCGTCGGTCTCGTTGGGATTTGAGAGACCGAGGTGGTGGTCCATGGCCTCATCGCCCCCCTTTTGAAGCAGATCATCCGGTGTATCCTCTCTCCGCCCCACCTCAACGGTGTCAATTGGTCTCTCAATCCAAGCATCTGTGTAAATCTATGTGGATCACATCTCTTCTTCCATTCATCCATCTCCACCCACCCTTTGTCAATTGGCTTCTCAATTGTCGATCCAAATCCCCCACTCATCCCTTGCCACTAGGGGTGTTCATCGGTGCAAGATTGGACCAAACAGGACCGAACCGGACCAGACCGAAGTGGGAAAAAAATTAAGACCGAAGACCGGACCTATAAGTAGTCGGTCTTAGACCGGCCTGGACCGAAAATCTTTGGACCGAACTGGTAAAATGACGAGTATACGAAGCATCACAGACAACAATCACAACATTCACCTCTGGATTGCTTTGCACTAGCAGCTGTGCCGCCTCCCACTCCGATGCTGCCGTCGCCGAACCGGCTCCCAAGCCACCTCTCCCCATCCCGCCGCACATGATGGAGAGGAGCCCCCCACTCCCGTCCCCCGCCCCTTCCAAGCTTCTCCCTTGTCACGCCCCGCAAGAGGAGGAGGAAGAAGACTACGAGATTCAAATCGGCCGATTGAAGCTGCGGAACCAGTCGTGGTTGATGTTGTGCCTCATCGAAGAAGAAGATGGGGAGGCGTGGAAGACCGATGAAGAAAATGGAATCCTCAAAATCCAAGGTCTTTTGATCAGATTTGGAATTGGGATTTATATTTATATGCAAGGCATAAAAATCCATCACAATCCACATTATTAAAAATCTTTCAGAATCTATCAATTTTTTAATACCATCATATTTAGAAGAATTTTTTAAAATCTGAATTGAATACACCAAGATTTTAAATGATATTTTAAAATCTGAATTAAATACCTACAGATTTTCAAAATCCAAAAAAATCCATCAGAGTCTTGATTGAATACACCCCCTAAGAGGTTATATCGATCCGTCGGTCTGGACCGACTATTATTCAGGTATGGACTGGACCGGACCGAAACCCGAAATCATAAAAAATCTGGACCAAAGACCGACCCGGTATCATTTCGGTCCAGGTTCGGTCTGGACCTAACGTGAACCGGACCTAACGGTCTGGTTCGGGCGGTTTTTTCAGTCTAGACCTAAACATGAACACCCCTACTCGCCGCCGCCCCCACCACCAATAGCGTACTTGTGGTAGAGGAGTGGGATGATTGGGATTGTGAGAGAGGGAGGTGGTGGTCTATGGCTTCATCGATTCCCTTTGTAGAGCATCCGATGGAAGGTCTAGTCATGGCAAGGCCTCCCGACGTCTCCTCTCTCATCGCCCCTCATTGAATTGTATTTCCCCGGGGGTAGTCTCATTGCTCTCTTGAGACGTGACATCTTCATTATCACACCGGGCCAGGGCGACGTATTTGGGCTTGGGCAAAAATATGATATTCCTATCATACCCATTAATTCCTTATCCCCTTTTCCATTCTGTAATACGCTAGTTTCAGTATCAACATTTTCAAAATCTAAACTCCATCAACAACCCTACTCCCCCCACACCACACCCCACTTTCCGTCATCTTCTCCAAGGGCCAACACGCCTGTACACCAGTCACCCACATCTTCATTCTTCTCCAATCTTTCTCAAATTTTTCTTCTACCTTAATTTTTTAAAACCTCTTTCTTGGTTATCACGATGGGAAAGAAAATGCCCCTAAGAATGGTAAGGATATGGGCATGGGCAAGGGCAAGGGAAAGAAGCAAGATAATCTTCCCAGAGTGCTGATTTTCAACGATTTTGTGCGGGAGTGCATGAGTGTTACCTCACGGGATTCCAAGGGGAAGGAGAAATAAATGGAGTTGCAAAAAGATCACAATCTACTTCCGGGAGAAGCTTCAAACAGGGGCAATGGAAAGGAGAAATGCAAAGAAAGGAGAAGCAGTTTCCATCCTCTGAAAACATCTGCGCCTATGAGTTGCTTGAGGTGGAATCCAAGGCGTTGGAACTTCGTCAATCGCACATCCAGAGTACTAAGAACGAAAGGCCAATGCAGGTTATCCAGGTTGTACCAAGTTGACATGGTGTATGACCTTTTTGAGTTGGCTCTCACTAAAGCTTCCCAGGCCTATTCTTCTAGTGCGGAGTCACCCTTTATAAGGTGGTTGATTTTTTGTTTGTATTCTTTGGAACCCAAGATGAAGTTCTGCTTTCATTTCGCCACCCGATCCCATTTTTTCAACATGCGGAGCATCTTTTGGTTAGTAGTTTTTTATTATATAACATCTTTCAAAATTCAATGAGGGCAAGAAACATGTCCTGCAAAACCTTACCAATGGAACCTGTGAGTACTTACCCCACATCAATAGTTGCCCCTTTTTCATAATGTCAATGAAGAGTCTTTTCGATGTTTTTTTACAAGTTTTGGCGTAGGACAGCTGAAGTCAACCAGTTTTTTAGAAATAAAACAAGTAAAAAAAATTTATTTCTACTACTGGTTGTGAATGTTTGTAAATCAATATTTTTAATATTGATTTGACCTTAGTTGTCCTAGGCCAAAACCTGTAAAAAAACATTGAAGAGTCTCTTCATTGGAATTATGAAAAAGGGGCAACCATTGATGTGGGGTAAGTATTGAGTAGCTTCCATCGGTAAGGTTTCGCAAAACATGCTTTTCTCCCTCTGATTGAATTTTGAACAGTTGCTACAAAATAAAAAACCACAAATCAAAAGACGCTCCGTACGTTGAAAAAATGGGATGGAGTGGCGAAATGAAAGCACGACCTCATGGATTTCTACGAATGATATTCCGGGAGGCAAGGAATCCATCTTAGGTTCCAAAGAATAGAGACAAAAAATCAACCACCTTATAAAGGGTGACTCTGCACCAGAAGAATCGGCCAGAGAAGCTTCTTTGAGAGCGAACTCAAAAAGGTCATACACTTGGTCAACTTAGTCTGCCGGGAGGTCAGAGAGTAGATAACGCAACCTGGATAACCTACATCAGCCTTTCGTTCTCAGTACTCTCGATGTTCAATTGACGAAGTTCTAACGCCTTGAATTCCACCTCAAGCAACTCATAGGCGCGGATCATTTCAGAGGGTGGAACCTGCTTCTCCTTCACTTTGCATTTCTCCTTTCCCTTGCCCCTATTTGAAGCTTCTCCAGGCAGTAGATTGGGATCTTTCTGCAACTCCTTTCATTTTTCCTTCTCCTTGGAATCCCGTGAGGTAACACTCATGCACTCCCGCACAAAATCGTTGAAAATCAGCAATCTGGGAAGATTATCTTGCCTCTTTCCCTTACCCTTATCCTTACTGTTCCTAGGGGGATTTTCTTCCCATCGTGATAACCAAGAAAGGGGTTTTAAAAGATTAAGGTGGAAGAAAAATTTGAGAAAGATGGGAAAAGAATGAAGATGTGGGTGACTGGTGTGCAGGCGCCTTGGCCCTTGGAGAAAATGATGGAAAGTGGGGTGTGGTGTAAGGGAGTAGGGTTGTCGACGGAGTTTAGATTTTGAAAAGATTGACACTAGAACTAGCGTATTACAGAATGGAAAAGGGGATAAGGAATTAATGGGTATGATAGGAACATCTTTCTTTTGCTCAGGCCCAAATACGTCGGCCTGGTCCAGTTGATAATGAAGATGTCACGTCTCAAGAGACCATGAGACTACCCCCGAGGAAATACAATTCAAAGAGGGGCGATGAGAGAGGAGACGCCGGGACGCCTTTCCATGCCAAGACTTTCCACCGGATGCTCTACAAAGGGAATCGATGCAGCCATGGACCACCACCTCCCTCTCTCTCAATCCCAATGATCCCACTCCTCTGCCACAAGTACGTCGTTAGTGGTGGTGGCAGCGTGATGCGAGAAGTTTTTGATACCGAAAACCTTCGATCAAAAAGAGATGAGGTGAAGTGAAATGGAAATGTGGAAAATGTAAATGGAATGAGTATAGTGGTAGAGCTAATGGATGTCGAATCCACGGGGATAGTGTAATTGGTTAGGAATTGAGCGCAACGTGTAAACAAACCCCAATATAAAATTCTAATATGTGAATTTAGGCTAAATAGAAGGAGAAGATGAATGAAATGAAATGCAAGTGAATGAAACTAAACTAATGCAATGAATAACTAAAATGAGATGCAAGTAGAAAAAGGAATGCTAGCCTGGGTTAGAGATTTCATGCTAACAATGCAATTGTCAAAAGAATATAGGAAAATGGGAAATCGACTAGAATGCGAGCAAATCACCTCGATTTCACTTCCATGAAAATCGAGAAAGAATCCTCTAGATAAGAGTCCACTTCCGTGGCGCTCCTCTCAAGAGAACTCTACGAACAAGACAAACAAGCTTCTCAAGTATCCTCCACTTTCGTGGTACGAATTGAGAATAGAGACACGCGACTAAGGTTCTATATCCCGATTCCTTGGTGATTTAAAAACCACTCTGAAATACAAGAATGCCATTGTGGCCAACAATAACATCCAAGTCTAAGTAAGGCACAATCTCTTCAAACAACCTAAAGCAATATCTCACAATCTTCGACAACCCAATGACAATAAACACAAATTAACAATCCATCCCTAACCTAGGCTAGAACATCTAGCCTAGCATACATAATCTAAGAGATTGATAAAAGATAAGAGAGTAAGAAAATAAACTAACACTATGTTTGGTTCAAGGAATTTGAAAGAGAAAAGAAAAGAAAATGAAGTGGAAAACCATTTTTCTTGTTTGGTTAGAGAGAAAAAGAAAGGAAAAGTAGAAGGAGAAGAAAATGAAGAGGCAAAATGTACCAATTGGAGGAAAAATCAAATTCCTTCCATTTTGGTGAGGAAAATGAGAGAAAATCATTTTCCTTTCTTTTCTTTCCAAAATCCTTGAGCCAAACATAGTGCAAAGGCATAAACAAGATGAAGAAATTAATAATCTAACACTAAGAAACAACTAAATAATACGGAGCATTAAGGTTGGAGCTCCCAAAATGAAAAGAGACAGTGATAAAAGAATGAACCAGGGGCAATTTCGGAACTTCAGCGAGAGGGGGAGCTACGCCGGTCTTAGATGGCGCTGTTGTTGCTGCTTCGCCGGAAATAGGGAGCTGTCTCGCCGTCTCCAGAGGTGGACGACGTCGCCTCGCCACTACCTGTCTCGTTGGTCGTTGCCAGAAGCTGGGTCGTCGGTCTGGAGCCTTTGGTGCTGGACTGCCGGAGAGGACGCCGGAGCTGGAGGCGTCACGAGGTTGCTTCGTCGCTGCTGGTGTGCTTCGTCGCCTCTTCCTCTTCGTCGCCTCTTCCTCCTGGAAAATAATTGATTGAACTAATTGAAGGATAAAGCTATTTGTACCCCAACTGAGTTGTACCCTACTTTGTACCCCGCAGGTTTGCACTAACTTTGTGTTGGTGTAAAACTATTTTTTGTTAATGCACCAACACTTTGTGTCCGTGTAAATTTTTTTTAACGCACCAACACTTTGTGTCCGTGTAAATTTTTTTTAACGCACCAACACTTGTGTCGGTGTAAACGATCAAAATGTTTGTGAATTACTGCGGTGTACAAATGAAGTATAATTTGTGGTGTAAGTGTAGCATGCCCCTTGATTGAATTCCATCTTTATTTTTTCTCATGTTTGTTGTCACTGCTAATGAACGCCTTAGTAAGAACCATGTTTTGACAACTAATTATTCTTTCGTATGATTTTTTATTATAATTTGCTTGGTTAGAATTATAACAATCCTCTACTTCACAATTTTTTTCTAGACTAGTCACTAGTCACTACTACTACCTCCGTCTTTACTATATTCGTCCACTTTTGACTTTTGAAACTGATCATCTAAATACTTTGACTCATCAAATTCTCTTAATGTGTAAGCCTAAATATAGTCATGTGTGATCTTGTTTAATTTGTCTTAACATATAGATTATTAATATATAATTTTTTTAATTTTTTAATATGCAAATTACAAGATAAAATAGATTAAAGAAGTACATTGGATGATGTGTAAAAGTATCTAATGATACTACCACCCTATTGATTTACTAAAAGTATCTAATGATACTACCACCCTATTGATTTACTCATTTAGTCATTTATCCCACTCTATGTTCCAAATTAAATTATATTACTATTTACATGATAAAATTTTATTATTTTTTTTATATATATTCATTAGTTACTTGAAATACAAATATAATCATAGTATCACTAGTGTGTAGATCTTTTAATGTAATTTTTAACCATGTAATTATGTTTTATTTATCCCACTAAATTGAGATAATTAAAATTGAGATGGAAAAAATAATGGTATCTTTTAAAACCTCAAAAACAAGAAAAAATTGTTTCTAGTACAGCATCAAACAAACCAAACAACCAATAAATTCCATTTTCAATGTGTAAATAAAGACGAATTGAACCGAACCACTATATCCGAACTGAACAAACAAAACTCCATCCTAGTCCATGTATGTGAAGGGAATCGAGTGGTTCTTTGAACCCCAACCATCCTCCGTCTGATCAATTTATGGGAGGGGCTCGTGCGCACAATCCCAAAAGCCCAATATAACACATTTTCATTTTCATTTCATTGTTATGCGCCCTCCGTCCCTATAACATTATCAATTTTTAATATTTTTGGTCCCATATTTAGATTTTATAAAATATTTCAAATATTTGATAAATAAAATTTTTATAATATTTCTTTATTTAAATTATACTTGTTTCATGGTTAAGGGTGTAGCTGTTTTGCGTCATAAAACATCAAAATGGTGATGTTTTATGGGACGCAAGTAGTAATAACAATCTCAGCCAATTTCTTGTAGTGATGCTTAAAGGGAAGGGGGGAGGGGATGGGAGCTGGATGTGGCGCAGAAAAGCAAGTTGGGCAAGAGGGGTATATAGACAATTCAAGACCTTAGTCCACCAACAAGAATGTCGTTATTATTGTCCAAAATTGACTTCTAACATAATGACCAAAATTGACGGTATTATAGACTTCAAACAAAATGAAAAAGTGGAAGGAGTGGTTGAGAGATACTAATAATATCTTTGGCTGCTTGAGAAAGCACTAACCCTCAATCACTTATTGGCATGTCTGGAAGGAGGGCCAATACCATCGCAATTCAAGGTACTATTACTCCAATAAGTGTATTAAGCAACCTATAATTCGGGGGGGGGATTCATCTTTTAGCAGGTTTTGGTGAACTTCGGATGGAGGCATATCGTTGTAGTGCTGCAAAACCGATTTCAGGACCCAGCTGCAACACCAGAATACCAGATTCACCTCGAACTCAATGGAAGATATATGTCTTTTCCATTCCAGTTAAAATCACACAATTTGTATCACTGTGAGGAGCCGTAGATTGTACCATATCTGGTTTGAATGTTTGATATGGTAGCCATTGATTGGATTATCAAATGTTTTTCAAGGCTTTCAAAAAAGAACAGCTGGAACTGTATCAAATTAGAACAGATTTGTACACTCCAAATCACACCTGGCTGTAATGATTGGAAGGGGGGGGGGATTTTCTTCGTGTCCAGGAGACTAGAAGAGAGGGCAATAAATACATCTCCATTCTAGCAGGTGTGGCCGTAGTGATTGTCAGAATCCCTTCCTGAAAGCACTGCTGTCATTTATTGACAGGTTGCCAAAGAGTACTATATAGACATAAAAGGGAAAAGCCATCAATATATATGGGGGACTCTCTAAGATGGGGGAGAGGACCTCTCGTGAATCACTCTCTAGAGGGGAAGTTTGACGGGTGAATCACTAGGTGTCAACAATTAGGAGATTTTGGGATACGGGAAGAGTGCTTACTCAGGATCCTTAGAGTCATACAAGGGTACTATGACTGAACCTTTGGTTTCACCTCCAGAAGACTTGACCATACTGCAGCCTACAACACATTTACAGTTGGCTAAGGATTTTCATCACACTTTAGCAGATGGGCAGTCCAATGGACTCCAATGAGTCTTCTAGCCTTTCAGGAGTAGGGGTTGTTGATGTGATGCCCTTAGCTGTAGAGTTCAGTAGTGACCTCTATCGAATCTCCCCTTGCAACGGCTTTTATCCTAAACTCCTCTAATCAGTTTGGTGCGCTTTCATTGTTACTAGACCAAGAAGAGTGCTATAGAAGACCATGTGTCCGAAAGCCCCATCCTTTTGAACGAAAGATCACTACTGTTGGGTAACAATGCCCTTGAAGAATATGACCACCCACCAAACTGAAGATCCAACTTGATACTCTCTTTAAGATGGGGACGACAAAGTTTTTTAATGATTCTTGACTGGAAGCCGTTGATTTTGACAACAAGAGACGTTGCACTCTATTCATGGATCAGAAGAAGAGATACTCTTGAAGGTGTCTATTCTGGTCTGCCATAGGTTTGCTCATTCTAAAAGTGCAGCAGCTAGCTCCTTATGTCTATCGTCAAGAGCTTACACGTACAAGAAGATGGATGATTGCATAGGGAGGTTAGCACCCTCTTATTCTTTCTATTTCAATTTCGTTATTTGTACAATACTTCTCCCTGATCTTTTTTTACTGCTCGACTCTAGTTCTTTGAAAATGAAAGATTGAAGATGGGGACGGATTGATTGTGGCAGACATGTTTGGAAAAACGAATTATTCGTTGCCAAACTTTTTGTGTATTTTCATCTAAATTGGTTCATAGTTGGGTGCATATCTTGGCATGGGTTGGCGAGTGGCGGAGGACGGCACGTGGGGTGGGGGTGGACAAGAAAGGTGGGTGTGCACGGGGGTAGCGGGATAGGAGAGGCAAGAGGGTAGGGGTGGTGCAGTGGGGTTGACGGGGGGTGGGGGTGGGGTGGGTAGGCAAGGATGGGAGGGTTGAGACATGGGGAAAGCTTACCCTTTGATTTACTTCTCTAAAGTCCTCAAATTGAAATGGTGTTATACTATGACTCCAAAATGATTAGCTTCAAAAGCAAGAGTTCTACTCCCTGTAGAACTTATATCCAAAGGAATGTAAGAAAACTACAAACAAAACTAAAAGCAAGTTCTTTTACAAATCATCAACTGTGTTTTGGGAAACAACTTCAGAACACTCATTTTTAGTTAAATGCTGATCTTACTAGTTCCTTTTCATTGATTTTTTTTATATATAAATACTTACATTACTTATTCACTGATTTAATATATATTCANAATGGTGTTATACTATGACTCCAAAATGATTAGCTTCAAAAGCAAGAGTTCTACTCCCTGTAGAACTTATATCCAAAGGAATGTAAGAAAACTACAAACAAAACTAAAAGCAAGTTCTTTTACAAATCATCAACTGTGTTTTGGGAAACAACTTCAGAACACTCATTTTTAGTTAAATGCTGATCTTACTAGTTCCTTTTCATTGATTTTTTTTATATATAAATACTTACATTACTTATTCACTGATTTAATATATATTCAATAACTTAAACAATAGAGATAAATCAATTATTAACCAAAAAATTTGACTTCAAAGTTAACAAAATCTTTGAATGAAATTGAAAGGGTTAGAGGGGTGGCTTCAGACTGGGGTGGGGGCTTTTATCGATGATGACACTACAAAAAAATCGCGTAATTGGCACGGAAATATAGGCACGGACGTTCCGTGCCTTCACCGGGAAAAGAAATTAACGCCACGCGTCACTATTTAATACGTGAAGGGCGTTGGCTCTGGCTTTTCCGTGCCTAAGTCCGTGCCAACACCGTAATTCTAAAACCATCACCAGCTTCACTCGACAGCGTTAAGTCCAAAATATAGGCACGGAATTGTCCGTGCCTATGGTCGATACTAGAACCTTCTCTGACAAAGCCATTGAAGAGCTTTACGTAGGCACAGATATATCCGTGCCTATAACACTGTCATTGCCTACATTAATTATGATGCACACAAGCTACGGCCGTAGGCACGGATATATCTGTGCCTATAGCGCGTAATTATTAATGTGTGTCAGGGTGCGCTATAGGCACGACGAAGCCCGTGCCAAAATTCGTGCCTAAGTTTAAGAATATTAAAACCCTTTCATTCCCTTAGTCTCATTTTTTCACAAACTCCCTAACCCTTCCCCATTCTCCTCCAATGCCGCTGCTATTCTCCTCCGCCCTTACTCGAGCCCGTCCTCAGCCATCTCTTCTCCCCTCCTAACAATTTCTTCTTCAAGAAACACTTCTTTTCAGGGGAGTATCCATGTCCGGGGTGGGGTAGCTTCTGTCGTTCGCTATCTAGAGGGTCGTCAAAATCTCCTTCGCCGGCGGCTACATCGCAATCCTTTTTTCAAAAAGCAAGGTGAGGGTGAGGAGATGGTTGAGTGTGGAGGCGACGGGCGTGGAGAAGAAGCGGCGGTTCCTCACACAGAAGAGTGCGCAGTGTGCTGTGTCAAACGCCGAGCACCCACGGTTCATCACCAAGTCCGATCTAAAGGGGTAATTTTTTACAATATTTATTTTTTTCTTTCGATTTTATTTTTCAAAATTTTAATTACTTTATTTTTCCATTTTTTCGTTCAGCCAGCAATTGAGCATAATTTAATTCATTTTTTTACTTTACGTAAATAATTTAATTCAATTTTTTAATAGGAGGAGGAGGAGGATGACACGCCCAATTTCTTCAAGGTCATCAACCGGTTGTTTTTTAACAAGGTGAATTTTTTTTAATTCCCTTAATCTAAATTATTAACTTTCATCTTTAATAAGGTTTAAATTGTTTTTACTTTTTTTTTGTAGAGAAACTGCACACAAGGAGAATTGTTAACTCAATTTCAGGGATGGAAAGATTCGGTCAATTTTTTTTATCCAAAGCATGTATTCGTCTCAAGTTCGGACACTCATGAATTCGAAGTGCGAGCCTAAAATTCATCTAAAGGACATAATTCTAATAACTGTGATGTTAAAAGTTATTTAAATCATGATAATTTGTAACTTTTATTTTTATTTGTGAGATGAATGTGGTATGAACATTTATTATTTGTTGGATGTGATGAATATTATTTGACATTTTATTTAAATTTAATCAGCTTTGTTATTATGGTGTGAATATTAGATGCTTTTATTGTTGAATTTTGTAATATTTCCGAATTAAAATTTTTATTTTTTTTATTTTTAATAATTAGGCACGGATAGTTCAATGACAAAGGGGCCAATATTTATTATTTCAAAAAATAAATTTTCAAATTTTGAAAATTTTAAAAGGCACGGAATGGTAAGAACACTCGTTTGGCACGACGAGATCCGTGCCTATAAACATTGGCGTTTTCCTTCAAACCGTGAGTTTGGAATGGTGTCGGCACGGGTAATTCCGTGCCTTTATATGGCACGGACAAGAAATCCGTGCCATAAGTTTTGGAGCTTCGAAATTGGCAGGTCTTTTCATCCGTGCCAAATTCCGTGCCTAATGCTACTGCCACGGAAGATTATAATTGGCGTCCGTGCCAAAAGTCCGTGCCAATAACGCGTGTTTTTTGTGGTGTGATGGTGAAGAACATACTCACATCGATTATCCGGTTCAAAAATTAAAAGAGAAGAAGAAGATGCGGATCAGGCACGGTTTATTAATCCTCTCAAGAAATTAAATCAATCATGGGTGGAGGCCGGGCACATTAATGAATAGGATGAGGATGCCTGATCATAAAAGATTGGTTGTTTACATTAATTAATTGACACTATTGATCGAGAGAGTTGCATGGCCGGGAGACAATGAGGCAACGGGGGAATGAAGAGGAAGAAAAAGAGGCAAAGGTGGAAGAGGAAGAAAAAGAGGCAACGGTGGAAGAGGAGTAGACTTGCCGCCCTATGTGCATGGAAATATTCGAACCAGACGGGACATGTATGATGGAGTCAGATGCCTTGTTGCTCTCAAGTGTTCCACTCCGATTGCTTCTCGACGTGGCTCAAACGTGATTGCTCTCAAGTGTTCCCTTGTGCCGTTCCTCCTTGCTGTCAGTCGGCAAAGGGCCTCATTCAGAGATGTTATTCAGAACATGTTTGTTATTCAAGTCGTCTTGAGTTTCATGATGATTTAGGCCCCGTTTGGCACTAGCGTTAGAGATTAGAGTTAGCGTTTTCAAAAGACTATCCAACGGTAACCTTTAGAGTTAGCGTTTTCAGAATTAATCTTCACCATCAAAATTTTATCCAAAACGCTAACGCTAATAAAAAATGTAGTTCCAAACAAGACCTTAATGTTATTATGGCATGTATTGGGTGAAACCGTGAAAGAGCTGGGTGGACCTGGCCTCATGACCCCGATTGCAATTGTGATTGTCTTGATGAGTTTGGTGGACCAGTTTGATTCATGAAACTGGAGGCTATTATTTGTATTATCTTGTTCTTTTTCATAGTAATTAACATTGCAAGACTATCTAAAAAGAATGTGTTTATTTTTAAAATTACTACCGTTGAATGACACACAATTTTCACTTTTTCTAGTAAATTAAGTACATTGATTTTCAAATGGTTCTAGTAAATTATTATATTTCAAAACAATTCGAACTTTTTTCAATATATATGGGACGTTACGGGGTTTCCAAAAAATAAATACCAAAAATATCGAACAGAACTGTTACCTCTAAAATATAAATAAATTAAATATACAGTTTCATTTGTTAAGTTTTTGGAAGTTTAGGTGATATTTAATTTGTGTGACTTTCACACACTTAAACTTATATTTTTATAAAATTTTATCACCTTAAAGTACAACTCGACTTATTATTTTATTGGTTTAGAATGTGAACTATAATTAAGTTTTTTTTAAATTATAACTAAACAATACACGTGTTGAATAAGAAATTAAGAATGTACAAAAATATTTAAGTACCAATTTTTTTGGATTTCGTCCATTGTTTGGCTTAGTATGACACAATATTATCTCGTTATCGAAGAACATAGTAAAATGAGTTTCGTTTAAAAATTAAGGAGCCCACAGGCGCCACCCCTATATGATACGGAGTATTCGTCAGTTATCGGAGAGACGGGAAGTTTTGGGGGTATTATTCGATAACGACCGATGGCTTCTTCGGGATCTGTAGGTTTAAGGTACGAAGTTAAATGCGATTTCGTCCAGCAGAAAAACCTAATTTCCCCATCATCATCATCATCATCAGTTGTGTTCACAGTGCAGAGCACCCTGAGATTAGGCGTCGCCGGAGGAAACCCTTTGACGGAGTTCCTCGAGGAGAAGGGTTGGCGGGAGACAAGGCAGTCATCCCTCGAGCTCCCTTGGTCCACAGACGAGGGATTGATAATAGATGATGATCATAATCTTAAAATATCCGAAACCCTTACTCTCCTTAGGGTTCCCAAATCCTATCATCAGCTCATCATCCGCAGAGTCCCCCCGCAGAGTGTTGGCGCCTTGCATCTCGTGGGCGTGGCTCCAAAGCTTCTGGTGCATCTCTTCGAGGTGACCCACCTCACACTCCCCCTGATTGACGAACATGGAAGAGCAATCTGCCCGGAAAGTAAAAGAGATTACGCCGTCATGAATTATGGCCTTCAAACAGAAGAAGAAGAATTTGATCAGGCAAAGTTTGTAGATTCTCTCAAAAAGTTGATCGTGGTTGCAGGAGGTGTTGATGAAGAGGAGGAGGAGTCTGGCTACATAGACAACTGGTGTTGGGACTTAATTGATGCCATCAAGAGACTTGCTTGGCCTGTAACTAAGAAGGCAATTGTGGTATACGACAAGGAGGACAAGCAAACTTGCCCCATCTGCTTGGAAGTGATGTTAGAACTAGACAAGCCATGGAGTGAGATGCCTTGCTGCTCTAAAGCTTTCCACCGCGATTGCATCTCAATTTGGACAGCCGAACGCGTCAAGAACTGCCCCTGGTGCCGTTCCTCCTTGCCACTCGTGGTTCAGTCTGCAAAGGGTCTGATTCGACGGCTCAATTCAGAACATTTTGTTTGTCCAAGTCGTCCCGAGTTTCATGATCTATTGCTGATATTATGGCATCTTTTGTCTGAAAGAGTTTGGTGGACCTGTCAGGTAGTACATGAGGCTGGTTGCAACTGTGGTTGTCAAACTGCAAACATTGACATGATAAGAGCTTAGCAATTACCATCAGTTTCATTCATCAAACAAACTGGTGCTAATTGCTACTCTTATTTATACTGGCTTGATAAATTTCTATAGTAGCAATCTAGCAAAGCATTTTTGTTCCCTCTGTGAGACGCATCATTGTTATTCCCATGATTTTGAATGCACAAAATTAAACAGTTTAATAGTCCATATGTTATGCTCTCCTTCTACAATCAGATAACTCTTTTATATGAAAAATAATGTGCAGAGGGATAGTCAGTCACATCCCAAATTGTTCACTTCATACTGTTTTTCGTTCACTCCAAGAAAAAACGTTTCTTTTTCCCACTGAGTAAGTATGTAGTTAAATCCTGTATTTCTTACATATAAGATTTATTCTGAATTTATGTAAATCCCTATGAATTGGGTATAAATACGGACTTTCTATCATTTTTTGGAACAAACTTTCTTTTATTTATAGCCATAAGGTTCATTAAGGTCAATTGAACAAAATTCCATTTTGGGAGGAACAGAATTAGAGTGAAATATTCACAATATTTTTTATTGTGGTCTACTTTTTATTGTGGTCAAAAGTGAAGAATGTTCATCCTTCAGACGTAAGAGGAGCATTCAAGCTAAGACCTACACGAGCTTCAAGAAAAGTTTGTGGTCATGAATGTATGATTTAAGATCTACACTAGAGCCTAATAAGGCATTGTCGTTTCTTTATTGTTTGTTGTCTCTCTTGCATCCATCATCACAAACTGGTATCAGAGCCAAAGCTCGGGTAATCGAGGTTTGTAATCCGGTGAGAAAGATGTCTGCTTTAAAATGTACAGACTGCCTTCCTTTTTATGACTCCTGCATTTTTTTTTAAAACCTGATTTCTTCTGGTACCAGATTGCTAGAGCAGTTGTTTTTTTTTTTTGGTCTCGAAGGGCTTTCCAGGTGTGCTACTGGTCTGAATGTTTTCTTTGATGGTTATAGTTAGAAGGGCTGCCGTTTTTCATGGGTTTTGAATGAATGGGACTTAACCATTGGGTATTGGTTATGGTCTGCCACAGGATTGGTTTTACTTTTTAGCCTCTTCAGAAATGTTGATGCTGCTCGGGATATTGTCGTGGTATAGATTCCGATGTGACATAGGCATGCCGGAGGTGAACTTTGAAGTTTTAAAATTCCTTGAACCAAACATCAGTGTTAGGGAAGTTAGGGAAGCCAATTTGGGTAGTGCTCTTTTGTTGCAGGCTTGCAACAAGGAAGTGTTATATATTTTAGTGTAATTGGAAAAACTACGACCAATGGTATCCTAATAATCATCAAAGAAGTTTGGTGGTGCGGAGTGCACGCTTCATTGAGTTTGTTACGATAAAAAAACCCGTTACACCGGGGGTTCCAAGGGGACAGCGCCCCCTTGGCGGGGGTTCGGGGGCAGCGCCACCGAGCAGGGTTCAAGGGGCGGCAGCCCCTGCGGGGTCCAAGGGGCAGAGCCCCTGGCTGGGGTCGAGATGCAAGTTGGAAGGATACTCGGATGCAAGTTGGATAACAAATATGGAAGATCACTCTTCCACGAGTGGATGGATATTCCTTCTCGGTGGAGGAGCAATTGGTTGGGCATCAAAGAAACAAACTTGCATAACTAACTCTACAATGGAGTCTGAGTTTGTGGCTTTGGCGGCAGCCGGTAAAGAAGCAGAATGGCTAAGAAATCTGATATATGACATTCCATTGTGGCCAAAACCAATATCTCCCATATCTATCCGNAATATGGAAGATCACTCTTCCACGAGTGGATGGATATTCCTTCTCGGTGGAGGAGCAATTGGTTGGGCATCAAAGAAACAAACTTGCATAACTAACTCTACAATGGAGTCTGAGTTTGTGGCTTTGGCGGCAGCCGGTAAAGAAGCAGAATGGCTAAGAAATCTGATATATGACATTCCATTGTGGCCAAAACCAATATCTCCCATATCTATCCGGTGTGATAGTGAAGCTACTTTGGCTAAGGTTTATAGTCAAGTTTATAATGGGAAGTCAAGACACTTAGGTGTGAGACACAGCATGGTTCGAGAGCTCATCATGCATGGTGTGATATCAGTGGAGTTTGTAAGGACTCAACAAAATTTGGCTGATCATTTAACCAAAGGGTTAAGTAGAAACCTTGTGCAAAGATCGGCTGTAGGGATTGGATTGAAGTCTATATAAATTTCTCTTGGTAAGAATCCCAATTCCCATCTAATAAGACATTAGATGCTGAAATCAATGTGGAAAATCTTAACATCTAGAAATTGGAACACATTAAGTATATTATCCCAAAGCATGTGTTCAGACCTGTAAGATTAGGAGGATGAAGTACGTCTTCTTAATAGTTCCTTTGAAAAATTGCATATGCAGGTGCAGGAATAAAGAGGACTACCTATATGAGCATGAAGTTTAGCCGCTTCAAGAAGTAGAGACTTCGCTTCAATATGCTTATGAAGGATTAGGACACAAGGCTAGTAAATAATAGTGTCAAGTTAGAACATTAAAAGTATGTAAACTTTTGTGTATATTATCTTCATGTATTCAAAATGGATAGCAAGGGTTCAATCCATAGTGATACCCTGATATTCGAATATTTGAAATGTGTAATGTACTAAGATGAAATTCAATCGTCACGATATTTCATTTATGCATAAGTTTGTTGTTTGCTGTGAATTTGTTTAGTTAATCAAGGATTACACTAAAATAGGGGAGGAATGTTATATATTTTAGTGTAATTGGAAAAATTACGACCAATGGTATCCTAATAATCATCAAAGAAGTTTGGTGGTGCGGAGTGCACGCTTCATTGAGTTTGTTACGATAAAAAACCCGTTACACCGGGGGTTCCAAGGGGGCAGCGCCCCCTTGGCGGGGGTTCGGGGGCAGCGCCCCCGAGCAGGGTTCAAGGGGCGGCAGCCCCTGCGGGGTCCAAGGGGCAGAGCCCCTGGCTGGGGTCGAGATGCAAGTTGGAAGGATACTCGGATGCAAGTTGGATAACAAATATCGAAAATTTTTTATTTTGGGCAAGACGCTATGTTAAAAAATTCAATTAGAATTTTAATTTTCGGATTTTCTTTAAAAGAAAACCTCCGATTGGATAGCACCGATTTCTGGAGAACTTCCGCGCGAAGGATCGCGTAACTTGGGAAAGAGACGCGATAGGCGTCTTCTCCCTCTGCCGCAAGTTTATAAATTCCCGTAGGCCTTGGTCGAATTTCGTTCGATTCTACACAGCAATTCCCATATTTCGTTCTAGATACTTTCGAGTTTTATCCGATTGAATTTTGGAGTGAACAACCAAAATATTCAATCTGAAAGTGTTTACACAACTCTCGATTCATCCAAGTTATCATTAAATTTCCCCAACAGGAAGAATCTTTCTGGGCTCAAGAGGCCAACCCCAGATGTACATGAGTGTTTTGTTTTATACTTTTTGATAATGCACATGGTCATTATTGTTAACGTAAAATGCATTTTAACTCATATTTTGAAAACAAAAATATGAAATTCTTATTTTTGGTATATTTTCAATATTTTACTCATGCTTTAATTTTTTCCCCTTGTTTTCAAATGTTCGTATACAGCGTCACATTATCACAGTACAATTTTCGATCTTCAAGATAAAAACATGAAGTTTTTATTTTAGTATATTCACTATATTATTTTACTCTTATTTAAGATAATTTCTCTTCAAAAATTAAGATTATTTTTTAGAGGACGGAATGAATGTGAGATTATTCAGATCAGAGACACCACTGATCCAAGTCATTGGGCCAGATATTTTTCAAGGTATTTTTGGGCAGGAATATACTGGTAATTCACGGTCAAAATTTGTGAAGTATAGGTAGTGATTAAACAAAGGTGCTTAATCAAAATATAGTTAGTAGAAAATAAAATTACCAGTAAATGAGATGAATTTGACCCCCTCTTTGTCGAATTGGGTGTTGGGTTTGGGCTCCCAACTATGTGTCATCTTTAACTAAAAGGCCCAAATATTTTTGGAGGATAAGTCCTCAATACATTTGTGTCCACATATATTGAGAGTAAAAGTTTGGCAGCTGCACATATTACACACCACTCACGCATAAAAAAAGGAGAAAAACAGCCGCAAGAGAGAGGAATCTGCTGCCATTTTCTTCAAAACGCAGACCTGGTTTTTTGGTCGATCGGAGGTCCAAATCTTGTCCGATCGAGCTGAAATTTTTGGAGGAGTCTAAGGACTCGTGGAGCTTCAATCTGAACGGTGGAGATCGAATTTCAACGGTTCAATCTCAAGTTATGAGCTTCGCACCAGCTGCAGTTTTTGGTGATTTGTTACACTTTTGTTCCTCTATTTTGATTCTAGTGCCTTCGTAGTGTTGTTAAGGGCTAGATATCATTGTGGTGCTGTTATATTGTGCATTTGTACTCTCAATTTGGTGGTAGTGGAGTTGGTTGGACCGAAGGGTCTCGTGGTTTTTTTACTCTTTCACATTGAAAGGGTTTTCCACGTTAAAATCTCGTGCCTCATATCGCTTTATTTTTCCGTGCTTGGGTTATCTTGTTGTTTGGTGTTCTTTTGTGTGTTTGTTTGTTGCTCCTCACAGATTCATTCAAGAGGGAAAGGTGTTGATCTTGGGCACTACGCATTCATTTGTGTTCTTGCTTTCCCAACAAGTGGTATCAGAGCACCGGAGTAATCTGTTATTTGTCTTGATTGAATGATGGAGCCAAATTACAGCAGGATGATCAGTTTGAATGGCACAAATTATCACAAATGGAAGGGTAAAATGAAGGACTTACTCTTTGTGAAAAAGATGCATCTACCAGTGTTTGCTACTCAGAAGCCAGAGTCAAAAAGTGATGAAGAGTGGGCTTTTGAACATGAAATGGTTTGTGGTTTCATTCGTCAGTGGGTAGATGATAATGTCTTGAATCACATCTACAATGAATCTCATGCTAGAACTCTGTGGGACAAGCTTGAATCCTTGTATGCATCAAAAACAGGGAATAACAAGCTATATTTACTTAGGCAAGCTATGAATCTGAGATTCAAGGAAGGTTCTTCTATTTCTGACCACTTGAATGAATTTCAAGGGTGTTTTGATCAGTTTTCAGACATGGGTGTAAAGTTCGAGGATGAGATTTTGGGGCTTTGGTTGCTGAATACTTTGCCTGATTCTTGGGAAAATCTTCGTGTGTCTTTGATTAGTTCTGCTCCCGGTGGTTCAGTAACTATGGAGTATGTCAAAGCTGCCGTTCTGAATGAAGAAGTGAGACGTAGAACTCATGAGACATCTACTTCAAAATCTGATGTCTTGGTTACTGAAAATAGGGGGAGAAGCAAAGACAGAGATCATGGAGAATTCAAAAGGGGCAAGAGCAGGAGCAAGTCCAGATCAAAATACAAAAATGTTGAGTGCCATTATTGTCATAAAAAGGGGCACTTGATGAAAAACTGCTTCAAGCTGAAGAACAAAGATAAGAACAAGCCAGAAGGGAAAGATGGTGAAAATGATCGCCATGTTGCAGCCACGACTTCAGGTGATCTCATAGTAATTTCTGATAACGACTTGATTAATGTTGCCTCTGATGAATCAAGTTGGGTTATCGATAGTGGTGCCGCTTTCCATGTGACGTCAAGGAAAGATTTCTTCACATCTTATACTCCAGGTGATTATGGGGTATTGAAGATGGGTAATGATGGTCGTTCACAGGTTGTTGGCATTGGAGTTGTTGTCTTGGAAACCAAAACTGGGATGAAGTTAGTGTTGAAGAATGTCAGACATGCACCAGATATTTGCTTGAATCTGATATCTACTAGTGTTTTGGATGATGAAGGTTATGTGAGTACCTTTGGTGATGGGCAATGCAAACTCACTAAGGGTTCTCTTATTGTGGCTCGTGGGAAGAAGTGTTCAGGTTTATACTGGACCAATGCTTCAGTCTCTGTTGATTCTGTCAATGCAGTCGAGAGTGATAGTTCTTCAGAATTATGGCATAGAAGACTCAGTCACATTAGCGAGAAGGGTCTTGATTGTTTAGCCAAGAAGAATGTTCTGTCGGGAGTGAAGGATGCAAATTTAAAAAGGCGCAGTCACTGCTTGGCTGGGAAACAGAACAGGGTGTCCTTCAAGAGTCGTCCATCTTTCAGAAAAATCAGAGTTGCTTGAATTGGTACATTCAGATGTTTGTGGTCCTATGAAGACAAAGACGCATGGTGGTGCACGTTACTTTGTGACATTCATTGATGATTGCTCAAGGAAACTATGGGTGTATGCCTTGAGGTATAAAGACCAAGTTCTTGGGGTCTTTAAACATTTTCATGCTTTCATTGAGAGAGAAACAGGAAAGAAGTTAAAGTGTATTCGCACAGACAATGGTGGTGAATACCTTGGCCCGTTTGATGAGTATTGTAGACAACAGGGCATCAGACATCAGAAGACGCCTCCCAAAACTCCACAGCTCAATGGCCTTGCAGAAAGGATGAACAGAACATTGGTGGAGAGAGTCAGATGTTTACTTTCAGAAGCACGTTTGCCTAAATCTTTTTGGGGTGAGGCTTTGTATACTACTGCACATGTGATTAATTTATCACCTGCTACTGCTTTACATGGAGATGTTCCAGATCGAGTATGGTCCGGGAAAGATGTTTCTTATGACCATTTGCGTGTTTTTGGGTGTAAAGCTTTTGTACATGTGCCAAAGGACGAGAGATCCAAATTAGATGTCAAGACGAGACAGTGCATCTTTGTTGGCTATGGTCATGATGAATTTGGCTATAGACTTTATGATCCTGTTGAGAA